CTGCTGAAACATGTTGTTACACCAGCCACCGATCATAAAAACAGACACCTCCACCTTTTGTTTTTCCGGAGAGTTCTGTCTTATGGTCTGCTCTGTACAGTTGGAAGCCTGCCAGCTGTACCGCGGAGTAGAAGAGGAATAAAAGTTTTTCCCCACTATTAGGAGGAGTTGGGTAGTAAAATACGCTGGTGTTGTTCCCCTGATGTTTATGAGCTCTTTTCAGGTAAGAGAACCAGGTATCACAGCAGAAAAATAAGGGGTCTTTCACACTTGACAGTCCGCACCAAGGTCACGAACCAGAGTTCATGTTTTGATACCTTTTGATACATTCAATTAGTTTTGGTTTCACACTGCAGTTACCTGTGCAGCGGACTACACCTACTTGACATTGATTGGTTGAACAGTTCCATGGGGAGCTTTGGCCTGAAAAGAATGAATAAGGAATGTACAGATGCCACTATGTTGTTGTTATTACGGCATTAGCCTACTACCTGCAGCACATACTTAACTCACAACACATTCTCATCTCAGTGCATCAATTACCGATGCTTTGAGACAGGCTAGTTGAAATTTGCCAAATAAATGCGAACCTTAGAACTATATCGTCTGCGGTGTTTTGGCATAACACTGGCAGGAAAGGGGGAGAAGACTGCAAGCAATCTCTCTGCACCTCCGTTTGAGGAGAGACCATAATTATGTCCTTTTTTCAATGCATTTCTCTGCACATTCGTTTGTTTCTGGTTTACATGGGAACCACCGAACTTCCTGTAAATAGTCTGAAAGTCCGAGCCATCCAAAAAATTATTTCACACTAGAAACGAACCGATAACCATAGTTTGATCCTCACCGAGACTACCTCTTTTTGTCGGACCAAATTTGGTAAATGCCACCTCATAGGCCTTCTGATTGCCCCATAGAGCTTCTGCCGGAGCCCCCTTACCGTCCAGCAGGCTGTACAATCTCTCCCAGCTTGAACGGGAGGCTATGAAGAAATGCATCACTGACTCTCTAGCTGCCGGTGTCATTCGCCCCTCCTCCTCTCCCGTAGGTGCCATTTTTTTCTTTGTCGGTAAGACGGGTGCAGCGCTACGTCCCTGCTTAGTCTACAGGGGTTTGAACAATATCACAGTTAAGAATAAGTACTCTCTGCCTCTCTCTGAACCCTTTTACTCTGCCACTGTTTTCTCTGAACTGGACCTCCGTAACGCCTACCATCTGGTCCGCATCCGCAAGGGGGATGAATGGAAGACAGTCTTCAACACTCCCCTGGGGCATTTCAAGTACCTTGTCATGCCTTTCAGACTTCTTAGGGGCTTTTAGGGACATGATGACAGATTGATTTTTTCCCGTAGCATGGAGGAGCATGTGCAGCACATCAGACTGGAGGAACAAGCTATTTGTTCAGAGAAATCTGAGTTCCACGTCCCTTCTGTGAGCTGTGTTTGCACCGGAGTCAAACCACCATCCAACCGTAACACAAAACTTGCTGCAAAACACGTGAAAAAGAGAAACCGCAAGATCAAAATGCTGATCACTGAAGACAATGGAGTGGCAGAGTCTCATAATGGCAGTCAATGCAACTGGCTCAGAGACTGATACAATTGCTGAAATAAAGACAACATTGCATAACATAAAAGTGGATGTCAAAAAAGACGAGGAAAAGAGTTTCTCTGACAGAAATCGAAGTGCTTGTGAGTTGAAAGTTAAAGTACATATTGTTTGATGCCATTTATACACAAACTAAAGAATATTCAGCAAGTTTAAAGACATATTTTTCCAAACAAAGGCCTGTGGTAGAAAGGCAAACACTATATGTTGTTGATCACATTAGAGATACACCTGTCAGCTGATTCCCGCTGCTATTAGCCGGCTGTCGGAAAACCCACAGTGGTTAGAGCCTACTTGTATTTGTACCGGCATGGCGCATTTCCTTCAGGTTGGTCTGTCTAATGATGGACCCAGTTCAGCACACAGATCCAAGAGCAAAGCTCTCGAGAGACACAGGGCCGGATTTACTGACACCTTGATTAAAGGTACTTGAGTGTGCACTCTAAAATATTGCATGTGTAATTGTAGTACCTGTTATGGGTGATTGACTAAGAATTATTTGTCGACAACAGGAGCAAACACAATGGAGGTGGCAGTATTTAAATGAGGGTTTTGATGGTTTCCGCCATGAAGAGTCAGGCAGGAAAGAAACCACTGCGTAAAAACCTTGGTTTCTTTCATTCAGTGCGTAACTAGTATGTGGAAATCGTATGTACATGCCCATCCTGCCTGAGATTGCACTAACTACTTGGGACAGTACACCTGGAAAAAAACTGCTTTGGGAAACCCCTGCTGAAACAGCCACAGTATGCTGGAATGACCCAGACACGAGGAAATGCCTGCAGATCGTGCTTCATCCAGCCAGAGGGAACGATCACAGACAGTCTGCACCCTGGCCCTGTACTCCCCAACGCCCCATTCCCTCTCCAATACAAACAAGGGGTTGTGTTGCTATTACGACCGGCGCGCTGTGAACAGCTGTGTTCATCTGTGTTCATCTGGCTGGATGAACGAAATTTTCTTTATTGTTTAATGTTAATACAACAGTATTGCCAAAGCTAAAGGAATATACAAAAAAACAATTAAATTCATATAGTTCATCAAATAACTAAAATAAACTAATTTTATTTCTATATATTGAATATAGAATAATATTATCTATTTTGCTACATCTTCTTTGATTACGGCTGTGTCTCCTTCTGTCAACGATAACAGCAGTCATCTCTGCACAACACTTGGCTGTTTGCACCTTCCTTTTAAACGTATTAAATACAGATGCTGTTGCACTCACATGAAATTGCGTTTAGGCATCGTAGATCACATTGCGTTTAGTAAATAAATGTATTTGCATGTTACCCTCCTATTACTTTGCACAATAAAACTGAAACGCCCCAAATTGCATATTCATTAAGGAAAAAGTAGTAAATGAACAACAGGTGCTATTTTGCACTTTTGGAAGAAGTCCTTCTCCGTGCACACCGTTACTAGATCAGCTTACATGTTAATATGTTAATTTGCACACGTTTTTTCTCACACAAACCTTTAGTAAATCTGGCCCTGACAGCACAGTCTGTTCACTGCAGTGATTTTACACACAAACCTAAACTGAAGACTAAACGGTGATATATGCACAGACGATATTATTAAAAACTACTTACGCGAATAGTAAACTGTGTGATATGAAGTGAAATTAAATTTGTGAGAGGCAACATTACACAATTTTATATGTTTTATTTGCTCCCAAGTCTATTTCACACAGCCGTTAAAATAAATGGGTTTCATTTTTGTTATGTGAGGCTGAATATTATGAATATATAGTTTGGTAGTCCTACTGAAATTAAGTATAATATAAATGTTTTTATTTTAGGTTGGTCGCTATCTTGTATTATAAACACTGGTCATGTAGTGGCTTACCTTTTGATATGTGGGCCGGGTAAGGTGGTGGATGTATATATAAACATAGCTGTGCTGTATATATAGTTAAATAGCTGTGATACGTATGTATACGTATTTGTCTAGTGGTACAACTTGCTCTTCGTTTGTAAAATATGACGCTCTGCTGCCAGTAGTGTTTGTGATTGGTCTTCTGCTGCTAACACCCCCTTTTTTATCTGACCTAATATGTGACTAATGGCTGGATTGGGAATACCTGGGTTGATGTACTAGCAAACTGACAACCTTGTAAGTCTTTCTCTAGACTGACAAACTGTCACAATGCAGCTTTGCAAAAGAACAGACTACATGAATAAAGAATCTCCAGATAATCAAGCTTGTTATCACTTGAAGAGAACTATCACTGAATCCAATTCCATATTATTTATATAGCGCCCAAATCACAAAAAACGTTATTTCATAGCGCTTTTCATATAGAGCAGGTCTAGAACGTTCTCTGTGGTGTTATTTACAGAGGTAAGGAAAAACTTCCTTTAAGAGGCAGATACCTCGAGCAGAACCATGGCTCAGGGACAGAGAGAGAGAGAGCGCCATAAAGAGGGAGAGAGGGACGGGGAGGGGAAGCCAGTAAAGGTAATGTTTTTGTTCGGTATTCAACGTATTTACATGTGATATGGTTACTTATGTGTGTTCTGAAGATATGGTGATATCGCCTGTACGTGAAGGTACTGTGATTTACCTGATGCTACAACAAGCATTTTGTAAATTACCCCGGATAGTCATTTGTTAGTATTTCAAGTATTTCCTATGTTGAGGAATCAGAATAAATTCTGCTGTTGGGCTAAACGCAAGCTCAAGTTTCCTGCCTCTTTGCTTCTGGATACGGCTGCAGGGTTCAGGAACACAGCTCTGTTTGACAGCCTCCAGGCCAGAGGGGCAACTTTAACACTCAGCTCTGTTACCACTGAAACTCAAATATACACAAGGATACCATATTCTATTTCAATTGTATATAGTGTGGATATTTTATGTATTTGATTAATCTATTCTACTCTTAGTGTATTTTATTCTTTCTTTGACTCTTGCACTACATTCCCCTGTGCTGCTGTGCAAATTTGAATATCCCCTATGGTTTTTTTTTTTTATCTCAAAATTAACATTCTCTCATGTAGCTGAAAAATCCCTCATCTTAATGTGGTATCATAGCTGCAAGCTGTTTCTTGTTTAAACACTGGAAATTATTCAAGCATTCGGTTCACAGAAATGCCACAGATGGGGCAGTTACACAGTAATGCCATGGCAGCGTGGAACAAAATGCATCACCCCACATTCACCTCCACAAGATGCTTACTGTTCATCAAGGTTTTGCAGATGAAGCAGTGAGATAGAAGATAATAGAGACAAGATAAGCAGGTTCTGACTGGCTTGTTTGCTGGGAATGTGGTCAGAATGCCACAGCTGAAATGATGCAAGTTACATTAGCTCTGCCCACCAAGCCCACTGCAAGTTTGTATTTTAGTTATATTCGCCATTTTGTCTCCTGCCACCCGCTGGTAAGGCCCCTGTCATGTTGAAGTTGTGTACTTAAATGCTGTTTTCGGTATATATTCATTGTTTAAGATTGGTAGTATGTCTCTTTTAAGATTTTACTCATGTGTTAGTATTGTGTTCACCAGCCAGCTGGAAACAAGCTAGATCATGTATAGTGGAGTGTAATGGGAGGAGGCAGTAGAAAAAAGTATCTGACAGGATATAAATGATCTCGCAGCATCACAAACCATCAGACTTACAGCTCCAGTTGGAAGTCAAGAAGCCTCACACGCAACTCAGCTGATCTACACAACTTCACCAGGTAAGGACAAACTGGACAGATTCTGAACTCTGTATTACTGAAAGCTTTCCCCCTTAAGAAAGTTTAAATAAAGTTTCGAAGGCTGTGTGGTCACTTAGTTGACATTTCTCAGCAGGTTGGAGAAATGGCCTCAGATACCATGACGGTTGCTGCTCTGGGTCGATCATTCACCCTAGGAATGCTCTATGATGCTCGAAAAGATCAGCTGATCCCAGGTAAGACTTAAATAAATATAAATAATAAATGTATATCTGCTTGTTACAGCTCTGGTTACAGGAACTTTGAAATTATTTCATAAAGCACACTATTGTAAGCTGACTGATTTTAGCGATGTAGTTATATTGGTGGTGAGTCCTGCAATACATAAGAAAATGTAGAAATGTCATTATTGTTTTAGAATTTCAGACAATAATTTTGACTGTGGAGCCATTTTACTGTAATTAGTTTTGTGCTGTGAATCCAGACTGTCATGGTTCTAAATTAGTAAAAATGTTATTTTGGCACTAAAGAAATGAAGGAGTGACATTAGCAGAAAACATGGTTTTGGTGTATTTTTGATTGTGTGTGCAGCCATACCTTTCTCTTTGTCTCTGCTCTCTGACCTGAACGTCAGAGCACAGGGAGCGGTGGAGAGAATGAATTTGTGTGATTAGATTTTGCTTCAACAACGGCAATGCTGGTTGTTAAAATACTAATCCTAAAATATTTAACCATTGTGAAGCATTTTCAAATCCTCTCCTTTAATCTGAAGTCACCAGGCACATAGTAGGACATAGGAACACATAGGACGTTAAAATGTTGCTTGTTATGCAATACTATAATTCCTTTATTAATTAGATTAATGTCAGAGAATCATACAACAAATATATTAGCTGTTTAGGGAACTGCTGGCAGGATAAGAAGCTGCAGCATGTAAACATCTTAATGTTTATGTGTAACTCTGTGTGACTTTATTTTAACAATGTGCTTTTTTCCCCAATTTCTGTAGGTTTGACCTTGTGGGATGATAAAAATGAGAAAATAGTTGAAAGCTCTCAGCACAGCAGTGCATTTGAAATTTCTGCATCTGACTCCATTGAATCCAAGTCCTCTCTGCTGGATGTTGGTGCTTCTCTGAAGGCCAGTTTCCTGGGTGGACTGATTGAAGTTGGAGGATCTGCCAAGTATCTGAATGATAAGAAGAAATTCAAGAATCAGAGCAGAGTGACGCTTCAGTACAAAGCTACCACCAGCTTCAAACAGTTGTCAATGATTAACCATTTAACCATGAGTTCCCAACAGACAGATATTATTGAGAAGGGCTCTGCAACTCATGTAGTCACAGGCATCCTTTATGGAGCAAACGCTTTCTTTGTGTTTGACAGTGAGAAGTTAGACGCCAGCAGCGTTCAGAACATCGAGGGCAAAATGGAAGCTGTGATAAAGAAGATCCCCTCATTTAATATTGAGGGGAAAGTTGAACTCAAGCTGAATGATGAAGAAAAAACCCTGACTGAGAAATTCTCCTGCAAATTCTACGGAGACTTCATTCTCGAAAGCAACCCAGCAACATTTGTAGATGCAGTGAAGACCTATGTACAACTTCCAAAGCTGCTGGGAGAAAAGGGAGAAAACAGTGTTCCAGTGACGGTCACTCTGATGCCACTGAAGAATTTAGTTCCCAAAGCTCCTGAGCTGATGAGTGGGATCAGTGCTGGACTTGTAAGAAAGGCTGAAAATGCTCTGGAGGACCTGAATCAGAAGGAAGAAGGATGCAATGATTTGCTGGAGGACAAAGTAGTGAAAGATTTTCCTCAAATCAATGAAAAGTTGAGCAGTTTCCAAAAACTGTGTCATTATTATGCATCTAACCTCAGACGGACCATGGAGAAGAAAATTCCCTCCATCCGTGAAGGTAAAGAAGACGAGAGCTCAGCAAAACAACTATTTGAAGACAGAGACAAGTCACCGTTCAGCCATGAGAAACTAACCAAGTGGATGGAGCATAAAGAGAGAGAAATCAACATCATCAGGTCCTGTGTAGAGATGATGGAGGGAACAAAGATCGTCCGAAATCAGTCAAAGTTGGACAGAGAGGTTCTTGGTGTGGAGGATGCTCTGTGCTTTGTTTTCACCTCCCTGGAGAGTGCTGACCCCTGCCTTGATGAGATGATCAAATACTTGGATTCACTTGAGTTAGAATGTACCCATAAAGACCAGTGGTACTTCTCAGGTGAAGTTTTCACCAAAATGACAAATAAAGCCAATGTTTTCCAGGATCTTGCCAAAGCACTGAAGAACAACAGCCGATTCCGTTTCCTCATAGCAGCTATTGAAAATAAGAAACACACAGGAGCAACCATCTACCATTACAGGAAGGGCATTCTGGTCTCTGATGACTTTTCAAAGCCTGACCCCCCTCCTGTGGAGACTATTACAGACAGAAGAGATCTGCTGTGGTGTAAGTACTTTATTTTCACAGTTAGACAAATTATAACAAATGTCTCTCCTTCAGAAACCCGATTGGCCGTAACGTCTATTACTCACAGAGTCCATTTTGAGCTTCTCTTCGTAAAATACTGTGGATTATGTTATCTCTTATATTGAAATCGCTTTATGAAGAAATCTCAAGTAAAACTTTCTGAAACACAAATCTGTCTTCAGTTTTTAGAATTTTCTCTTCAACACAACAGAGTCACAACTGCACACTGATAGCAATAATATACTGAAGTATCTCAACATTGTGCTGAAGTACAGTTCTTGATATTAAGAACATAGGAGCATGAAATGTTACAAAATATGAGTCTAACCTAGTGTTTCTCAACGGGGTTGGTAGCGCCCCCCAGGTGGCGTTCTGAGGACGATGGGAGGCGCTGGAAGCAATTTTTGGAAAGGGGGTTGCTGAACTGCTTTTGGGGAGCATGGGGATCACACTGCACTGCTTGCATCATCTTGTCACAAGCTCTCTGACGTAATTGCTGATGTAATCTGCACTCTGCGCATGCGTTGGCGTCTGTAGCCACCTGTCGGAAGCTCCGTCTTAAACCGGACTCTTATCCAGTTTTAATCCACTCTTTTTTCGTTACATTTTTTATATCCTTTTTATTTAACTTAACTTTATTTAAGTTTTACGTGGGTTAAGGATTTTAGTCATCCGACATGGATTTTAAGCTAGATGACCGTAAAAACGCGATCAACGCTACTGATCGCAACAAAGCTCCGGTGACTATGCTAGCCAAGATAACTCTGCCCCATGAGGACTGCTCACTCCTTAAGAAAGCGAACAAGAAGATTGCTGACCTTATGGAAGACATCCGACGACTTTCAGAGGAACTCAAAGAGAAAGATTCCCTGCTGACTGGCTTTATGGATGTAGCTTCAGTACAAGCCAAACAGATTGTTTCTCTTAGCACAACCGCTAACATCCAGGACACCGTGTTTTGGGACCCCTCTAGTCTTCCCAGGCTTTCATCCTGCTCGACTCCGAAGCATCAGGCAACCTGGGCTGAAGTGGTGGTCCGTGGCTGCAAGAGAGGCTCGGATGGGGCTGCCTCTCCTCCGTCCATCCGCCTCTCCAACCGCTATGCAGCCTTGTCTAACGACACTCCAGTCCATCCAGCGGATGCACCTGCGGCTTCGAGTCTCCCTGATACGGATCTCTGCCTGCCGACACTGTTGCATCTCCTTCACCGGCTACATCTCCTGCGCCGGGCCTGATCAGCGGCCGTCATCCCGGTCAAAAACCTCCGCTTCCCGACGTAGGATCCTGAAGGAGGCTGTGCTCAGACGGTCCGGAGGCCGTCTCCACCCTGCACCGTCGGGTAGCCCTTCTCTCAGGTCTGTTACTGCTACTCCAACACAACACTCAACAGCTCACACACTCCATCCTCAGTCCGCACGCAGTGTTGAAGCAAATTCTGCTCAGTCCTGCTCTGGATCCCCACAACCAGCATCTCCTCGTCCTCTTTTCTCCCCAACCACACTAATAATTGGTGACTCCATAACCAGAAACATCCGTTTCTTTAACGCTACCACTCACTGCTTCCCTGGTGCCACCACGGCTGTCATTTTAAAAAAACTCCAGGACCTGATGCCGTCGCTCCCGTCCTCCATCACAAGAGTGATAGTCCATGTCGGAACAAATGACACAGCTCTTCGGCAGTCTGAGCTGACAAAATTAGATTTTAACCGTCTTCTTAACTTTTTAAAGCAGTGCGGAAAGTCCGTTTTTATCTCTGGTCCCATTCCCACAGTCGGTCGCGGTGCTGGCCGCTTCAGTAGACTCCTTGGCCTCCACGACTGGCTCCAGTCCGCCTGCAGGGCTCACCGTGTGTTTTATGTGGATAATTTTAATATTTTCTGGCAAAGAATGCCTCTTTTTAAGACAGACGGACTTCACCCAAACAAACGGGGCTCAGAAATGTTAGCTGCTCACATACAGCATGTGGTGCGGTCCACACATGACTTACGTGAATGACTAATCATTCATGCAGCACACCTGGACACACCACCGCTCACTGAACAGATCTCTGCCTCACTGCCACAAACAACTGTCTCCACCTGCTGGCATGTAAAGCCGTCTGCTCCCAGCGCTGTTCCACAGACTTCTATTCCTGTCATCATCACGCATAGGCCAGTAAACCGAAATGTGCACATCCCACACAGAAATATTAGTAATCTCTTAAGGATTAGGACAACTGCACCAACTCCAGCACCCAGAACAAACTCATTTAAAATGGCTCTCTTCAATGTGAGATCACTTTCAAGTAAGACTTTTATCTTAAATGATTTTATCTTGTCTGCAAATTTAGATTTTATGTTTTTAACTGAATCCTGGTTGCAAATGAATGACTATAGCCAGCTAGCTGAACTGTGTCCGCCTCAATATGATTGCTTTAGTCAACCGAGGGTCAGTGGTCGTGGTGGTGGGCTAGTGAGCGTGTATAGGAAAAATTTTAAATGTCATCAAGTACGCTGTGATGAATTTAACTCCTTTGAAGTTCTCACTCTTAAAGTTGGAGGGCTGCAACCTATCATATTTGTTATAATTTATCGCCCCCCAAAACCGCCTGGAGGATTTTTATCAGAACTTCCTGAATTTTTATCTACTCTGGTTTTAAATTATGACAGAATTGTTCTTTGTGGCGATTTTAATATTCATGTTGATGACCCCACCAATGTTAATGCAACTGACTTTTTAAATATGGCCACTTCTTTTAACTTCAAACAACATGTCAAAGGGCAAACACATAACCGTGGTCATACATTGGACTTGGTTTTTACCCTGGGTGTCAGCATTTCCTCTGTGGAATTATTGGACATGACCATATCTGACCACAGATGTATTGTTTTTAGCTGCGATTCGCCTGTTACTCATGCCGCCTCACCAAGCTCCGTGTGTTCTCGCATCTTTAATGAAGTGTTTCAAAGTTTTGCGCATTCTTTCAGAGCCAAAGCCAACACCTGTCTGATTCCAACACCAACAATCTGGTCGATCACTTCAATCATATCTGCTTGTCGTCACTAAATATTACTGCTCCTCTAAAGGTTAGGCCTACGTCTAAAGCTAGTAAGCAACCCTGGATAAATGACAGCATTCGCAACCTCAAAAGGGAATGCAGGAAAGCAGAGCGCAGATGGAAAAAATCCAGTCTCCAAGTCCATTACCTCAGTCTGAAGGATTTATTAATTAACTACAATAACATGGTTAAGGATGCGAGAACACACTATTTTTCTGAACTCATTACTACACATAAACACAATCCCAGGTTTCTGTTTAAGACTGTGGATCAGCTGGTAAACCCAACCCCTCCTTGTGCCTCAGCTGGAAGTAATGATGACTGTGAATTGTTTTTATCTTATTTTACCAATAAGGTGGTGTCAATCAGAACCTCTATTACCCCCGTGGCCTCTTACTCAGAGGTTCCTCACCAGCAACAACAGAGTTTTAACCAGTTTTATCCCATCGACTTGTCTGAGCTTTTAAAAACAGTATCATAAATGAGAGTGTCCTCCGGCCCACTTGATATAATATCTACAAAATTTTTACTGAAAGTAATATTCTGTTGGGCTTGTTTTCAACAGCTCCCTATCTACTGGTTGTGTCCCTGATTATTTTAAAACGGCTTGCATGAACCCACTTTTAAAGAAACCTGGTTTAGATCCCTCCCTCCCACATAATTTTAGACCAATTTCAAAACTGCCTTTTATTGCAAAGATTCTAGAAAGAATTGTGTCCAAACAGCTGCTCACTGTGCTGGAAAATAACAAATTATTTGAAAAGTTTCAGTCTGGTTTTAGGAAGTACCACAGCACTGAGACTGCCCTGCTTAAAGTCACCAATGATCTTTTAATGTCTGCTGATGAAGGTATGTGCTCAGTCCTTGTACTCCTGGACCTTAGCGCTGCTTTTGACACCATTGATCACAACATCATGTTAGACAGACTGAGGCACTGGGTGGGGATCTCTGGTACTGCCCTAGAATGGTTTTCATCCTACCTGTCAAATAGGAAGTTTTGCGTGCCTGTAAACAACTATGTCTCTTCATTCTGTCCAGTTAAATATGGTGTGCCTCAGGGGTCGGTCTTAGGACCCATTTTGTTTTCCTTGTATCTGCTTCCCCTTGGACATATTATCCATAAACATGGCATTTCTTTTCATATTTATGCTGATGACACACAAATATACTTGCCCGTCAGATCCACAGACCCTGGAATGCTGAGTTCACTTAACAACTGCCTTTGTGAAGTTAAAAAATGGATGTCAAATAATTTCCTCCAGCTGAACTCAGACAAAACAGAAATCCTGGTCATCGGGTCTCAGCAGATGGCAAATCAAATACTGCCATCTGCTGGTTCCCTAGTAAATCACATTAAGCCTGTGGCAAAGAACCTTGGTGTTTGGTTTGATAGTAATTTAAATTTCGAGCAGCACACCACAAAGCTTGTTCAATCATGTTTTTATCAACTTAGAAATATAGCTAAAATTCGATCTATGTTAACTTTTAAGGACACCGAGACCATTTTACACGCCTTCATCTCATCACGCCTGGATTATTGCAACAGCCTTTTCACCTGTTTAACCCAAAAATCTATTGATCGACTCCAGACTGTCCAGAACTCAGCTGCCAGGCTTTTAACCAGAACAAAGAAATATGACCACATTACTCCTATTTTAGCTTCATTACACTGGCTCCCAGTATGTTTTAGAATTGACTTTAAAATTCTATTGATCACTTTTAAAGCTCTTCATGGCCTCTCGCCTTGTTATATTTCTGACCTTTTAGTCCCATACGCACCAGCACGTACCTTGAGATCCTCGGGCAGAGGTCTGTTGTCTGTTCCAGAGTCTCGACTGAAAACTAAAGGGGACAGAGCATTTGCTGTCAGGGCCCCGAGGCTCTGGAACAGCCTGCCCGAGGAAATCAGTTCGGCTGAGTCAGTGAACTCTTTTAAGTCCCTTCTTAAAACATACTTTTAAAGGAGAGCTTTTCCCGATCTTATTTGACTTTATTTTATCCCTTTTATTTTATTGTATTTTACTAATTTTATATTAAATTCTCATGCTCTTATCTTTTTTTGTATTATTCTTTACACTTGTTAAAGCACTTTGTAACTTGTTTTTGAAAAGTGCTCTACAAATAAGGATTATTATTATTATTATTATTATTATTGTTAGTAGGAAATTCTAAGGCGAGTTTACACCAAAGATTCACAACAATACGAGTTCAAACTTTAAACTACTTGCAAAAAAACTGTGGTCTGCAACATTAAAACCTGCCAGTTTAGTCCACTGCGACTAGACAAGACTGTGTATTTTTTCTTCATCTTGTGGTGCAGGTCCGTACTGCCTTCATGGGAACGGGAAGCAGAGTATCATCTGTAAAAATCTCTTTTTGGTATTACCGTGGAAAAGTGTTTATTTCTCTGAGGAATACACCATGAACGTCTTGTTATCGCAGTGGTTACACATTTACAAGAGGGATATTTAGCTGTCGGATTTACCCAGACGCCCGATGCCGCCCTAGGTGGCAGGTCTCTTGACCAGCTGTACTACTCTGTTTATTCTCTTTTGTTAAATAAATTCTTCAAAGCTCAAAACTCAATTCTTTGCTCAACCCCTCACCAGGAATATAATTTCCATGACACATGTCAGAGAACACAGATACGTGGGAGAGATTCTGAATGTGCAGAAAGTTTTTAACATGAGCAGTTAAGTTACAGTGTTTCCTATACGTTTATTTATTTGTGGCAGCCCGCCACAATATCAACGCTGACCGCCACATATTGATTTTCGATACCTATTTAAAATCGTAGTTGATTGCAGAGCGCCGTAGTGCATTCGTGCAGCACATTCTCTCACCCATCCCTCTCTCTCCCTCTCCCTCATGAACGCAGCTGCACAAATCAGTCCAAAGCTGTGAATGTCGGAGACCTAGCTAATAAGGAGAGCTAAATTAATGTTAGAATACAGCAGGGTTTTCAAGGCTAACACGCTGTCTATAGCTGCGCCACAGTAAAACTGTTATTCTGTGGGAAACACTGAGTTATAAGTTATTAACAGATGAGCTAATAAATAACTGAATTAAAATGGATTAATTCATTCCTGAGATGAAAAGGGGCCACAAACACATTTAAATAGGTTACTTCCCCACAAAAGAGGAGGTAAGACTTAATCATGTGTGTTGACTCAGCAGGGATGATATTAAATATGTTGATCTACAGGAGAACAATATTTAAAAGCGAGTAAAAAATAGTAACAACAACAACAAAAAAAACTTTAAAATATGTTATAATCCACAAATGTAACTTGTGAACCTGGACTGATGCTTGTAACCATGATGACGTCTCGTTCTCTCCATCAGATGCCTGTGATCTCACTCTGGACCCAGACACAGCACACAAACACCTCACTCTGTCTGAGGGGAACAAGAAGGCAACAAACGGAGCAAAGCAGTCGTATCCTGACCTCCCGCAGAGATTTGATTATTTCCATCAGGTTCTGTGCAGAGAGGGGCTGACTGGGCGCTGCTACTGGGAGCTGGAGTGGTATGCTGCTTACTCTGATGGAGATGTTGCTGTTGCAGTTACCTACAAAGGGCTGCCGAGGAAAGGAGCAATTGACAGGTGCGCGTTTGGACACAATAGCTTGTCCTGGAGTTTAGGCCAGAGCTGGTCTCCACCAAATCCTGTTCTCACTGCATGGCATGATGCTCGGTCCTGCAATCCTCCTTTTCCTACTACTGGCTCCACCAGACTGGGAGTGTATCTGGACTGGCCTGCTGGCACTCTGTCCTACTATAATGTCTCAGCTGACACACTGAGTCACCTCCACACCTTCCGCAACAAATTCACTGAGCCAGTTTACCCAGGCTTCTATATTAAGAATGAATCCAGCAACATGTTTCTGTGTCTGTAATCTGCACCTCATGATTCACTTCAAGTTCAGTTTGATTACAAAATGATTATTTCACATGTTGTTATTGTGAAGAACAATCATGATAGTAATATAACAATTTAATATAATGTGTCCTCTTTTTGGCAATGCAAAATATCTAAACAAAATGCAAATTGAACTAAATATAGCTCTCCCAATGATCCATATTACCATCATTATCATTATTGTTATTATTGTTGTTTATTACTATGACTCACAAATCTCTTTGCTGATTCGATTCACTTTTTTCATTTTAAAGATTTGTAGTCACAGACTGTAGTTTGTACACATCTTTCCTCATCTATGCTAATATGCAACAGGGAAACACAAAGCCATGTTTCCATGAAAGCTTCTTTGTGATTTATATAATTAGTAAAGCTGCATGAACGTGACAGAATTGAACAAAAATAGGTTAGATAATTTTTTTTACCATTCTGTTCATTAAGTGTGCTGCTGTATGGGCTCTCTTGTAGCTTTAGCCTAGCTTGATTGAGTTAGTAGGAAGAGGCGCAGTTGGGCATCCTTTTAATTTCCTGATCAGATTTTCTTCCTGAATCTGCACATTATAAATGCATGCATTAAAATGAGCTAGCAGGAACACAGACATTATACTGAAATGCTTTTTCGTGAACTTCACATACTACAACAACAACAAAAAAAACAAAAGATGCTACGTACAATCTAGCTCATAATAAGTACATACATAGACAATGACTGACAGGTGCAGAGTACGGACATAGAACAGCCTGAGGAACATACATACAACAGCCTGAGGCCAGCAACATGCAATTTCAGTTCAGTGTTGACAGAAATGAGTACTGATTAACCATTTCTTTAAACGTATTTTAAATGTGCTGTATGTATCCAATTCTCTGAGAGCAATTGGGATGGAGTTCCATTCTGATGCAGCTTTAACCGAAAATGCAGACTGGCTGAAATTACATTTTCTTAATGGGATAATACAATCCCCTCTTGCTGACCCTCTTGTGCGATGATATGCAGTTGTTGTAGGAACAAACTGACTGAGTGGGGGAGAAGTCAATCCTTGTAGAATGTTGTTCATGAGACCTGCATCTACATATTTAATCAGATTTGTCCACCTCAACAAGTTGTATTTTGCTAATATTGGGGAATGATGAAAACGTACAGATTTTTTGTCCAGAACTTTAAGTGTTTGTTTATACAGTGACTGTAATGGTAGTAGCGTAGTGGCACTAGCCTGTGACCAAGTTGTTAGACAATAAGTAATGTGTCAAATGACCATAGAGTACATGTACATTTTAGCCGCTTCTGTTGACATGTAATCTCTTATAAACCTAAAATTACAAAGATTGAATTTGACCCTGTTACATACCCTTTTCACCTGAGGTTTGAAGGAGAGTGTGGAACTAATCAGAATTCCAAGATACTTGTACTCAGATACTGACCTGTAGTCTTTCCCCTAATACGAAGACATCTGGCTGCTCAGGGTGGGCGGCCATCTGCCTCCACCGGTTGGGGGTGAGAGATAGAGAGGGGGAAACTTTCCTTTATATTTTATTTTACTTCTCTTTTGTCTACAGTGTGGTTGTACTTTCTTGTATGCTAATTAACATAAAATATGATATACCGCTGCAATTATATATATTTGCACACAGTTATTCAACTCATTAAAAATAAATGGACAAATCATTTCTGGTGTAGAATTATGATTCATTGACTTGTTGCTTTGAGTTGTTTTTCTGGCTCACAAGTCTCCTGTCTCACTTTATCTGTCGGGTTGATGGTGATGAAAATCTGAATTCTTAAAATCTGTTTAGACTTCATACAGGCTGTTTCAAGGTAGAATTTAGAAGTTTAATATTTGTTTTAAGTGCGGTGCGGTAGTGCAGTGGTTAGCACTGTTGCCTCACAGCAAGAAGGTCGTAAAAAAGTGTCTGTGAGTGTGACTGGTTGTTTGTCTATGTGTGGCCCTGTGATGGACTGGCGACCTGTCCAGGGTGTCCCGCCTTTCGCCCAATGTCAGCTGGGATTGGCTCCAGCCCCCCTGCGACCCTGTACGTGTTACGCCCCTGTAAAAGGGGAAATAGAAAGTACGACACGGACACGATGTAGCCTCAGTCAAGTCCAATGTTGTAATGTATTTACCAAAAACATACCAAAATACTTTCACAGCATCTTAACAGTATTGGCAAATAACAGTAAACTTAACCTCGGTCCACATGACACAGCTAGCATACAGGCTACACTGGAGCAACACTTCACCTTTAGCCTGCTAATTGTGCATACATAAATCGCTACAGTCATTAATATTTACTCCCTGCATGTTCCTTACAGCATTAAACACATAAACAAATCATTCGAACAAACTACAACCCTCGTTCTTACCTGTAAAAGGGGAAATAGAAAGTACGACACGGACACGATGTAGCCTCAGTCAAGTCCAATGTTGTAATGGACGAACGTAAGCCACACGTTCCGTACGCAGGCTGAACGAGGCACGAGCAATCGTGAACCGATCCTCCAATCACAAACTAGTACTTAAAACTATACATCAAAAAGAAAGTGAAACTTATGTAAACAATCAAACACTGCATATTGTTTTTTAAGATGCATTTCCCCAAATTGATATAGAAGTTAAATAAAAAAGCATTTTAAACACAGATTGTCTTTTTATCCTATTAACCTTTTTAGCCTCTTTTATCCAAAAAGCAATAGATTACTGATGTACAGATCAGTGTATTTTAACTTTGTCCTGTTTTATAAAGGAATGAATTATCAGTTTTTACTCAAACAGTGCAATGATTCAAAGCATTCTAATTTTCCCTTTTTATGGACATTTTTAAGTATCTTTTAACTCATATCAACCCAACTTATATCCTCCCATTCAATTTATTCAGTATAACACCTTTTTGATCATCCTTACGTGCTCACTTAATGTACTCAGTATTACATCATTTTCATCATCCTTACACTAACATGCTCACAGCAGCAATGCTAATGTTCGGATGTTTAGCAAGGAATACTGTTTTGACTTTCAAATTTTAAATATTAAAAACACTAAAACCATAATATGACGACTTGACAATATAACATCACTAAAAAAAATCAGACAAAAAAAGTAGATAAAGAAGACAAAATAAAATGAATAGAATACTTTCAGTAATTATAATAATTAGATTGACAGTGCCAGCACGTTAAAAATGAAAATATGCATATGACAGGTAGAGTAGGTTTAATGTTTACCATGTTCTCCATATCAAGCATAGCGTTAGTTCAGGCAGGCCAAAAAGTCAAGCTCAGCTCACAATCCCAGCATATCAGCGGATAGCAGCCATCTTAAACCAGCCACATCTCTTAGCATTCATTGGCAATTCCATACAAGGCGCCTATTTAAGCTGCCGTAGCCTGTCTGCCTGCCCTTGCTGCTTCCTCTGCAAACAGCTCATAACCCACCGCCACCCCAGCTCCGCATTTCAGGCCATATCTGATAGGGATGCACAATGTTATCGATCCTATAAGTATTTGCTGGTTGGGCATATTTCATGTCAGAATCATAATGGGAAATGAATTTGGCAGAGAATTTAGCCAATAAGAATAAAACAATGCTAAACTGCGCTGCTGCTGTTGTCGCACTCTGGGCGTCATTTAGCATATGCCAAGCTAGTGTGATTTTAAAAACAGAGGATGAGAGATATGGACAGAGCAGATTAAATAACACCTTCTACATGTTATGCCTGTTAAACAGATGTATCGATAAAGTTTGTCTTTTACTCATGAGGTTTTATTGCACATATTACATTAACGAGTAGTTCAGAGTTACCTTCATTTCACCGTCTCCACGGCCCATCTCTGCGCTGTGCTAGAGGTGACACAGAGCAGCAGAGGCTGCAGCCTGATAACGAACCGTATGTTCTTCAGCCCCGGGCCCATTTAACACCGCATTTCAGTGCCCATCTAATGTCTGATTAATCATGTAATTCGGCATATGCCTGCTCTGTTCTGTACGAGGGTTGATACTGCTGCTCTCTGCCTCAGGCTTTCTGCGTAGGCACTTGGAAGGGCAGGGAGATCCCAGAACAGAGCCATACCGCCAAATTACAATGCCGCTGTATCAGTCTTTGAAAGTTGTCCTGACTGAACTTAGTTTAGTGTGTAACTTTGCTAATATTTACTAATTAGCAGAAAACACAGGCACAGCTAAGGCTAATGTGAATTATTTCCTTTTATTTAACTTGCAAGTTATTCAAATTCATCTTTAGGCCAACATGAATGTGTGAACCAAATTTCATGGACATTTACACTTAACATTTACTTATGGGCAGAGGCTTTTATCCAAAGTGACTTACATTTGAGGAACAACATACAAGCATCAATACAGTAAGAGATCTACAAGTGACAATAGAGACTAGGAAGAGCAGCAATAAATACTAGTAGGAGCTTATAGCATGTACAGCATCAATGGGGTAAATAACTAGGGAAAGTAAGAGTTAACGAACTAGTGCAATCAATACAAGATAATTGTAAGGAGATAGAGGAAGAAAAATAGCACAGGAAGTACATGTTAGAGGTTAGGGGTTAGAAGTGTTATAAGAGGGAAGTTTTCTCGGAAGAGATGACTTTTCAGGAGCTTCTTGAAGTTAGTGAGGGACACCCTGCTCTGATGGCATGTGATAGCTTGTTCCACCATCGTGGTGTCACAGATGGGAACAGATTGCTTTGTGTAGGGATGGCAGAGCCAGGCGGCGTTTGTTGGAGGAGCGCAGTGGCCCATAAGGAACGTAAGCTTGGATTATGGAGTTTAGATAGATGGTGCAGACCCAGTAGTCACTCTGTATGCCGCATTAGTGACTTGAATTTGATTCGGGAGGCCATGGGTAGCCAGTGGAGGACACTGAGAAATTTAGTGACATGAGTCTGTTTGGGTTGAAATCCATCCAATATTTGAGATATTTTATTGTTGGACCAACCGGTACATTGACATTGCCATCCATGGCTAAAAAATTTTATTCATGAAGTCAGTAGGAGAGAGTACTTTACATAAGGTTGTAAGTAATCACACAATATCAATATAACATAATGGAAAATTCAGTTGGAAGTCAAGAAGACTCACTAATAAATCAGCTGATTTACACAACCTCACCAGGTGAGGGCAAACTAGGTGGCAGTGTCTTCACTGAAAGTGAGTTATATAACAGATTTTTTTCCCCCATACATATTGGACTGGGAAATGGGTTAGAGGAATAATGACACGCACATCTATCTACATTTCTGTCTTGGGTCATACAAGGTGGATAAATAGATTTAAACGTAAATGCACTGCTTGACACTTCTTCCTAGTGGACACATACAGTGAGGAAAATAAGTATTTGAACACCCTGCTATTTTGCAAGTTCTCCCACTTAGAAATCATGGAGGGGTCTGAAATTGTCATCGTAGGTGCATGTCCACTGTGAGAGACATAATCTAAAAAAAATAAATCCAGAAATCACAATGTATGATTTTTTTTACTATTGTATGATACAGCTGCAAATAAGTATTTGAACACCTGAGAAAATCAGGTCAAACGTTTCCTGTAGTTTTTCACCAGGTTTGCACTGCAGGAGGGATTTTGGCCCACTCCTCCACACAGATCTTCTCTAGATCAGTCAGGTTTCTGGGCTGTCGCTGAGAAACGCGGAGTTTGAGCTCCCTCCAAAGATTCTCTATTGGGTTTAGGTCTGGAGACTGGCTAGGCCACGCCAGAACCTTGATATGCTTCTTACAGAGCCACTCCTTGGTTATCCTGGCTGTGTGCTTTGGGTCATTGTCATGTTGGAAGACCCGGCCTCGACCCATCTTCAATGCTCTAACTGAGGGAAGGAGGTTGTTCATACATGGCCCCGGTCATCCTCTCCTTAACACAGTGCAGTTGCCCTGTCCCATGTGCAGAAAAACACCCCCAAAGCATGATGCTACCACCCCCATGCTTCACAGTAGGGATGGTGTTCTTGGGATGGTACTCATCATTCTTCTTCCTCCAAACACGGTTAGTGGAATTATGACCAAAAAGTTCTATTTTGGTCTCATCTGACCACATGACTTTCTCCCATGACTCCTCTGGATCATCCAAATGGTCATTGGCAAACTGAAGACGGGCCTTGACATGTGCTGGTTTAAGCAGGGGAACCTTCCGTGCCATGCGTGATTTCAAACCATGACGTCTTAGTGTATTACCAACAGTAACCTTGGAAACGGTGGTCCCAGCTCTTTTCAGGTCATTGACCAGCTCCTCCCGTGTAGTTCTGGGCTGATTTCTCACCTTTCTTAGGATCATTGAGACCCCACGAGGTGAGATCTTGCATGGAGCCCCGGTCCGAGGGAGATTGACAGTCATGTTTAGCTTCTTCCATTTTCTAATGATTGCTCCAACAGTGGACCTTTTTTCACCAAGCTGCTTGGCAATTTCCCCGTAGCCCTTTCCAGCCTTGTGGAGGTGGACAATTTTGTCTCTAGTGTCTTTGGACAGCTCTTTGGTCTTGGCCATGTTAGTAGTTGGATTCTTACTGATTGTATGGGGTGGACAGGTGTCTTTATGCAGCTAACGACCTCAAACAGGTGCATCTAATTTAGGATAATAAATGGAGTGGAGGTGGACATTTTGAAGGCAGACTAACAGGTCTTTGAGAGTCAGAATTCTAGCTGATAGACAG